CGATGGCTCCCTCTTTCGGAAAAAAAGTTGCTTAGAAGCGAACTGAAGGGGTGTTTGACCTCTCCAAATATGTACCAGTATCAGCACACAAAGTTTGAATTTACACATCCAGTACAAACATACAAAAATTTGAATTTAGACATATATTTCGATGTATTTTTTTCCGTTTTTGTTTTGTATTTCACAAACCTATCTGTACAGTGGCTATAGCATATGTGTTTTACATGTATTGCCTGTCAACAACAGAGTAAGTAAAATATTGAAATATTGAAAATATATGTAAAATATATAAGTTATGGAAAGTGTATGACTGGATAGGAGATACTGGCATTACATGTAAACCGATGTGGCGACGCACCACGCCCACCGGTGCGATTGTACATTTTTGTATAATTCTATACTGTACCGGGGTCATCTGTACCAATGTGGTGTGACTGTGATGTTGCAATGCGAAAATTTGGTGAGTCTGTACCGAAGGCCCATGCCTATGCAGAAGCTTGCCCGCTGGTCCGCAGATGAACAGCAAACATCCTCAGAAAAATACTGCTTCCTGCTCAGTCTGATTATCGATTTAACTGGGTGCCAGCTGTGTTACTTGTGCGTATTTGAAATCAAGGCGTGCTTTGAAGCTAAATTTAAAATATTTGGATCGCACGTTGCCATAGAATATTTTAGTAAAGCTTTATGTTTCTTCAAATAATTGGCTAGCGAAATCGCTTTTCGTTACAAATTTCTTTGACATGTCCAAGCGCGCGATACATGTGCAGACCAACAAGCGGGCTTCTGCATATGCATAGGCCTTGCACACACGCGCATCAAATTTTCACATTGCAACACCACAGTCATACTCCGTCGACATAGATGACCTCGGTAGAGAATAAAATCGTAGGTGTCAATGTAAAGAAAACAGACATTCGCATAAAGCAGAAGCGACCTAATCAGCTAATTTCTCAAATTGGCATTTTGCCAACGGTACGAAAATTCTAACTTCGACTTACCTGTACACAACTGAAGTAAGCACGCGTGAAAGCTGAATTTGAAATCTTTAGCTCACAAGGGACAGAAAAAATTCCTGTAAAATTCTAGGTTCCTATCTCTTCTGATTGCCGGAATTGCTTTCTCGCCAAAATACCTGCATACATTCTTTTAGGGATCCGTGCTTCAGTTCCAAGCGTACGTGCATGTCAATTTTAAGCGATTTGAATGGCACGTGGGCTAGGAAAATTTCTGTGAAATTTCAGCTTTCTAGCTTCTGCAGTTGTTGTGCTGAGTGTGGGTGACAAAAATCCGAACACACACACACACGCATACAAAAATGCACACATGCGCGCACACATACACATATAATACACATACTTACATACACACACACACACATGCTAAAGACCGTTCCACAATACGCTTTTTTGCATTTGCACAAATATGTAAAACAGCACTATCACACACGCTATGGGTAATGTGCGGATGGACAATGAACTTTGGCAATATTTGTAAAACACATATAGGTGGACTGGGGGAAGTACACAATTAATATATAAATATATATTTTCAAATGTAATTTACACTAAATTACATGAAACTGAATTTTCTTTAATACAAACAGAAATATTAGTATACCAAACAGAAATATTTCTTTAGCACAAATAGAAATATGTTGGAAGAAGAAAAAGCAAATAATATTAAGAAATTAGTAAAAGTTGCAAAATCTTGTAAAATCGTACATCTAAATACGTATAAATAAATATATATGTATGTGATTTTATATATATGCGTATGTGTACATAATATAGTCATACGTATGTGGTTGCATCTAATTCAATTTTTGTGTGAATTTAGTGATAAAGCGAATGAACGAATCGTAGAGAGAGTGGTTGTCTCATATGTGGGGTCGAATGCTCGGTTGCTTGCTGTTGCACCAAAAATGCGCTTGGAATAAAATTGTGGAAAATTAAAACGAGCGACAGAATCGCTACGATGGCGGACGGGGCGCGCCATAGATTCACGCGTATTGCGACACATTTCTGAGCTGAGGAATGGAGATACACTGGCGAAGAGGGCGCGCTCTGGAACGGTGTAACAGCAGCACGATTCTGAGTGAGCAACGATCAATGCGGCTCGAATGGCGCCAAGACCGCCCTCGGATGTAATTTTTGTGGATGGCCGGCTAGCATCGGTGGAAGGAGGAAGAGAGGGAGGCCGGATGGGAGGAGGGATGGCCGCCGAGAGCAGCAAGCGTCCACCGAGCAGTGTTCTGGGATCGAAGCGCGGCGCGCCCAGCATCAGCACAGTCCTCCTGCCTGACACCACCACAACCACGACGACGACGACCCTTGCCGATGCCATCGTGTTCTGGAGGCGGACGATACGAGTAGCTGCGAGGACAGGGCGAGAGAGAGAGAAGAGCAAGAGAAGCACGCTGTGGCCGGCACGGCGCCAAATGCAGCCGCCACTACATCGTTTGGGCTCCAAGCAGCAGCAGTAACAGCAGCAGCAACAGCAGCGCAACAGCAGCAGAGAAGCAGCGGTGCAGCAGTACTGCTCTATCGCCATCCTGGAAAAACCGTCCATGCGCACGCCGAAAGGCTGGCGCCCGCGACCCGGACACCAGCAGCAGCACAAGAGAGATACAAAGCAGCAGCAGCAGCAGCGGAAGCAACCGGACGGCTTGGTGACCTAGTCCTGGAAATGCTCCAGAAGGCGGCGCACCGTGCGTGAGGGGACAGACACAACGAGGGAAACTGTTTGCTGGAGTGTATGTGACCCCTTCCGCCCTGAAAATTGTGCCTAAAGAAGCAAGGAACGAAGGAGCGAGCGAGTGAGCGGGCGAGACTGAGTTTCTCGAGATCGAATAACAATGGTATCCGTGAACAGTCCGGATTCGAGAGGCAATAAAAGCCCGTTAGCGAAGCCTTTGCGTAGATGTAGCATTTCGACGAAGGAGTGGAAGGGGGCGAGGGATGCTGGACAGCAGATGACCTCTGGGCACCATAGACGACTGAGTGCCAAGGCGCGCGCCAGAGCTTATGTCGCACTACAGGCCAATCAATACATGAACGGGGTCAACTGGGCAATGGTAGAATCGATCTGATCAGCTAAGTTCCCGAATAGTACAAAAATCTTGATTTCGACATGTCCGCATAGGTGATGCAAGTACGTGTTAAAACTGAATTTGAAATCTTTAGCTCACACAAAGACAGAGAAAATCCGTGAGGAATTTCAGTTTTCTATCTCCCTGATTTCCGGAATTGCTTTCCCGCCAAAAAATCTACATAAATTGTTTTAGAAATCGGAAATCTACACAAATTATTTTAGAAGGCCCAAGCGTACATGCACGTCGATTTTAAACAATTTGGATGGCACTGGACTAAGAAAATCCTTTTGAAATTCCAGCTTCCTAGCTTTTGCTGTTGTCTTGCTAAATGTGGGTAACAACAATCTGAATGTACACGCACCTGCACACATACGCTAATGACCCTCCACAATACGCTTTTTTGCACTAGCATAAATATGTGAAGTCATACAATACATAAGTAAAGGGTAATGTATGGGTGGGTAATGAATGCTGGCAGTATATGAACCCAGGCTGGATTCCCATACGAGCCGCAAACATACGGGCGGTAAACACGCTGACAGAATTTCAGCCACTGTTTTTTGGCAAGTCTTCCGAGTTGGCACAGTACCAATTTGCAAACTTTGACGCGATCGTATGCGCTTCACAAACGTGCGCGACAGCTGAATTTGAAATTTTTAGCCCGCATATGCACAGAGAATATACTTGCAAAGTTTCAGCTTTGTACCTTACTTGATTTGCGAAATCGTTCCCTGCCGAAGGAATATGCATATTTTTTCGGTGGGTCCGTACGCGGGGTCAACGCGCAAGCGGGCGAAGATCTTAAAACGGGAGGATGACACGTGGGATAAGAAAATATAACCAAAATTTCGGTCTCCCAGTTTTCCTGGTCGCTGAGATGAAAGTGGTTGGCAAAATGCACTCGCTTCCACACACACATACACACAGACAACCTCTCGACGATATGCGTTTTTGCTGGCTGTAGCAGCGTTATAGGGCTGCACAGCAAAAACGCATAAAAATGCATGGTGGCTACGGGAAGTACATAATTGATGATATAAATATATATTTCCAGATGTAATTTGCACAAAATTTAAATTACATAAAATTTGAATCTCCTCTATATAAATACAAAAATATTTTAATGTTGGAAGGAAAAGCAAATAATATCAAGAAATTAGTAAAAGTTGCAAAATCTTGTAAAATCATATATGTATATAAATTCATATACATATAATGTTGCACGTAATTCAAATTTTATAGCTACGTGATTTAAATTTTATGTGAATTTCGTAATAAAACGAACGAACGAATCGTAGAGAGAGTGGTAGTCTCGTAGGTGGGGTCAAGTGCTCGGCTGCTTGCTGCTGCACCAAAAATGCGTTTGGAATAAAATTGTGGAAAATTAAAACGAGCGACAGAATCGCTACGATGATGGACGGGGCGCGCCATAGATTCACGCGTATTGCAACACATTTCTGAGCTGAGGAATGGAGATGCACTGGCGAAGAGGGCGCGCTCTGGAACGGTGTAACAGCAGCACGATTCTGAGTGAGCAACGATCAATGCGGCTCGGATGGCGCCAAGACCGCCCTCGGATGTAATTTTTGTGGATGGCCGGCTAGCACCGGTGGAAGGAGGGAGAGAGGGAGGCCGGATGGGAGGAGGGATGGTCGCCGAGAGCAGCAAGCGTCCACCGAGCAATGCTCTGGGATCGAAGCGCGGCGCGCCCAGCAGCAGCACAGTCCTCCTGCCTGACACCACCACAACCACGACGACGACGACCACTGCCGATGCCATCGTGTTCTGGAGGCGGACGATACGAGTAGCTGGGAGGACAGGGCGAGAGAAAGAGAAGAGCAAGAGAAGCACGCTGTGGCCGGCGGAGAGGCACGGCGCCGAACGCAGTCGCCACTACATCGTTTGGGCTCCAAGCAACAGCAACAGCAATAGCAGCAGAGCAGCAAATGAAAGGATGGCGCGCCTTTCGTTCACGGCTCAGCGAGGACTATGTACTACTCGATTCAGGAACAGCAACAAGCACTGGCCGCCGCCTTCTCAAAAATTTACTGACTGGCGCCGCAGCTCAGCAAATTCAACAATCGGATGAATAGTAAACTGCAGAATGAAATCGGAGCAGCAGCGACAGCGACGGAAGTAGTAGTAGCAGCAACGACACTGGCGGCGACAGTAACAGTAGCAGTAGTAGAGCAGCAGCAGAAGCAAAAGCAGCAGCAGCGGCAGTAGCAGCAACAGCAGTAGTAGTAGTAGTAGCAGCAGTAACGAAAGCAACCACTCGTGGCGCATGCGGATGGCTTGCTGACCTAGTCCTGGAAATGCTCCAAGAAGGGGCGCAACGTGCGTAAGGGGACAGAAACACAGGGGAAACTGTTTGCTGGAGTGGACGTGACCTTGCTTCCCCCCTCCTCCCCTTCCCTCCTCCCTCCTCCCTTCCCCGGCCTTCCGTCCTGAAAAGTGTGCCTAAAGAAGCAAGGAACGAAGAAGCGAGCGAGCGAGCGGGCGAGACTGAGTTTCTCGAGATCCAATAACAGTAGTATCCGTGAGCAGTCCAAATTCGAGAGGTAACAAAAGCCCGGTAGCGAAACCTCTGCGTAGATGCAGCATTTCGACGAAGGAGTGGAAGGCGAGGGATGCTGGACAGCAGATGACCTCTCTGGACACTATAGACGATTGAATGCCAAGGCGCGCGCCAGAGCTTATGTCGCACTACAGGTCAATCAAAGCATGGACGAGGTCAACTCTGTACCTTTCCTAAAGGTATGATATTGCTGGGACGAAACACAAACAGGGCAACAGCTAATGCACTACAGGCTCGCTTGCCTGGATATCTAAATTGACACCTCCTGCTTTCCCACAACTGTCAATATTCGACTGTGTCCCTCTTATCGGCGGGCCTATAGTGCCCAAAACAACTTAATCTGTTGATTATAAGCTTGCTTCGGCTGCTAACGTCATACTGGGCCTCAAGAATGTGACTGCATCGAAGTTTTTCGTTCGTTATCAAATTTCAGACGATGAAGTTGCTTAATGTGCAAAAAATTCACTGTATGTCCAGTTGCAGACGAATGGGTGATGTCCCGTGACTTTTGACCCTTATAGGTACCTTCAAGAAGAAAGTTTTAAAAGCTATGCCGTAGATTTCATTCAAAATTTTATCGGTATTTCAAATTGGACTCCAACCTACAGTTTGAGGATGAAACACAGACAGGACAACTAATGCACATACAGGCTCGCTTATCTGGGTATCCAAATTAGCACTTCCTGCTTTCCCACAACTGTCAGTATTCGACTGTGTCCCTTTCATCGGCGGGCCTATAGTGCCAAACAAACTTTCACAGTTTGCATCTTAAAAATTTCCAAATCACTTGTATAATTAAATATTAGCAAGTAACATCGTGTCAGGATCCGCCAAAATTATACCGCGTCGAAGTCCAATTGACACGGGACAAGTTGTTCGCTCTACTGACAACCAGTGGGCATCTACTGTTAGCGACTGGTTCACGTGAGAAACTAAACGACCACTAATTTTCGCACTCTCCTTACCACCATGCTTACGCAGCAAGACAGTTTTCGACTCCCTCCAGCTGAAAGCAGTAATTCGTCTTCCTTCTTTTTGCTGAGGATTCACTAAATTTCTGTTATTTCAATAAATATTCAATAAATTCAATAAGATTCGATGAAATTTTTCAAACTTTTATTATCCACCTCAAATTAGCGAAGGTCCGATGTCATCACTATCGTGGCGCCTTCTATTTTTCGTTCAAAAGACTTCATTTCTTACTCCAGTGGCAAGACTAAGGAGAAACCTGCTGCTCGGTGGTGTGAATCAGAGACTCAAGAACATTGTCACATAAAGGAGAAAACATTCAAAAACTTTTTTTGCTGAAATCCAGAACTTCTCCAGCTAGTTCCATATTTGTATGAGTGACTTTATTGCATGATTTGAAAGCATAGCTGTTTTATGAAGATAAATTAACATAAAAACACAAAAAATATCAAGACCTTTCACTTTATCAGTATGGTATTCCATGTTAGTGATGTTACAGATGAATCAGTGTGGGTATCCCATGTTACCGATGTTACAAATTACCCGATTTTTAACAAATATCACGGCCAAATTCCGAGAACCGCCGAAGCAGAATGCAAAAACAATCCAGTTTTGTTGAGTTTTTCTTGAGTTTTCGCATTTGTAAATCCTCCTTCGCATAACTTTTGATTCTTCGATCACATGTAGTTCATAGTGTCACTCTCCATTTATGCATCTAATAGCTTTTCCAACTGCTTTGACCAATGCTGCATCGTCTGGCTGGTGTTGTCGAATCTGACATTCGTTCCGTTTTCAGAGCGGATTAGGATCTCAACGATTCTCCCTGCAGAAGCACTCTCTTTCATCACTGAACTGTACGGCGACTACAGAGCGATCCGCCACTCTCATCACTGTCAGCGACGCAAAAAAAAACATTGTTTTTACCTCAGTGTGATTGGAGGAAGGAGAGATATCCTCGAAATGCCCCTCCCTCCGCGCCGCTTCACCAGTGTTTTCTAATCATCCACAGGCTACAGCGCAGCGCTATACCCGTCGCCACAGTAATACTTTTGCTTGTACCAACAACAGAATCAATTC